TTTTTATCTTTTTTGTTTCCTCATTCCTTTACCTTTCAGCTATCCCAAAAAGAGCACTGCCCAACCCAGGTGTGCATCAGCATGATTCCTAATGGCAAGGAGCACTGGGAGGAGCACTAACAGAGCACTAGCTGACTGATCTCAACCAAGTTATTTCAAATCCCTGGGTCTCAGCTTCCTCACTTAAGAAACCAGAGTCCCAGACTAGATGCCAACGTTTACTAGATGTAAACTTTTTATTACATGAGTCAAACATCAAGGTTCTCAAATCATAAATGTGTTGCTTGTTGAATTTTTACAAAGAATCAGTGACCCCTATCAAGAAACAAAATATTGTCAGTAACCCCTATCAAGAAACAGAAAATTACCAGTACCTCAGAAACTCCCACAAAGGTAATGCACTCTTCTAACTCCTAACACTGTCCATTCATGTTGCCTGTTTTTGAACTTGGTACAAATGGAGTCAGATGGGAGATATTCTTTCGTATCTGGCTTCTTTCATTCAACATTGTGAGGTTCAATCTTCATGTGGTTCCTTTATTCTCATGGCCGTGTCAGGGAGCTCTTTCTGGTTTGGGCTGTACAAATATCCGCTGTGGTGGAGATTCTTGAATTCAGCTTTAGGTGAATATACATATGCATTTCTGTTGTGTTCTGGGACTGGAATTGCTGGGTCCTGTGATGTCTGTCTGTTCAGTTTCTCAGATCATGCCTAGTGGTGCAGCCACACACTATCATGGGGCACAGCACCAAGGAATAGATTTGCCAAAGCTTCACTGCTACCAGGACTCAAGTCAGGGATTCTGATATCTGTTCCAGCTCAAACTCCCTAATGGGTAGCTGCCACAAAAGAAGATATGCCACTCACATCCACAACCCCCAGAGCCTGCTGGTGGAGAAAACCAGGTAGCAAGTATCCCTCTGTGATGACATTTTAAATTATATTTCTATGCAGATGAGCTCTAATTTCTAGGACTCCCCAGGGCTAGTGAAAGAAGTTTTGGGGTTTCTGGAAAATATCATTCCAAGGCCAGCATTTTGCAGTGACTCAGTCAACAGATAGTTCAGTTCATTTAAATTCTTCTACCCAAATTTAAGGACCTGGTAAATGCTCAATAAAAGTAATCAAGGAAGTTTAGGTCAAAAGGACTCTGTAATCTAATTTTATAAGAAAAATTTGCCTCTTAAGCAACTTTTCAGCATGAGGAAATTTCTCTAAAGTAAGCACTTAAAAATGCTACTTATATAAGTTTGGAATGTCAATTTATGGTTTAGAACAGTGGGTTGAGTTATGAGAACAGTGTTTTTCAAAGAATACATATAATCTATCGATCAACATCAACATGAATATTGCCCAGGAGGTTGTTTAAAAAATGCAGAATCCAGGTAGAATGTGTGTTCTGACTAACTCACAGGCTGGTCTTAGCGCCAATTTCAAAATCTGTGTTGTATCACTCACTGCAGAGGAACTCCATGTTGGGGGGTGGGGCAGGAACTTCAATATGGAAAGATAAAATGACCCAATCATTCACCCACAGGCCTCACTGCTATTTCTGGGGCAAGTTCCAATTTTGTATTTGCAAAACTCTTCAGATTCTGGCCTCAAGTGGAACTGTTGGCTTTCGCTTTTTCCTGGAACATCGCTGGTTGAATTAAATTGTCCACACAATTTTGCCTCTGTTGGGGATCATGCCTTCTCGGTTGTCCCTCTCACTTGAGACAGCCTTCTGTGACTTTCTACATGTCACTCTGAATGCTCTTTGAAAACCTCCTTTGTCCTCATCAGCCATCCACTTCAGAAGTGATGGTGTTATTTTGAAGAGGGGTTTGGGATGCTATATAGAATAAAGCTATGATTGTATTAAGAACCAGAAGAGGATAAGCAGCTAACACAAACATGAATAAGTCCTAAGCACATGCTGTACCAGGGGAGACAAGGGGTGAATGCTTCGTTGAGACTCTGCTTTGTCTTGGGGGTCTGGGTGCTCATGTAAAGCCCCAATAGACTTGCTAGTGAGGTTAACAGCATTCCAGTTTGGCAAACTTACCCAATTCTGCGGCCCAAGGCCATGCTCCTGAAAGGTGCCTAAGAGTCCCTCTGTGGGGGGGAAGTCCCTGTGCTGCATTCTTGGGTTCTTGTGTGCCCAAGCACATATATCCATTGCAGTCTTTCTCAGAGCTCAGCCCTAGAAATCCAAGCTTCTCTCCATAAATTCCAACAAACACTACAGTCTTGCACTCCCTACAGCAATTTCATACTTTCTTCTCACCACCATATTGCTTTAAGGACTCAGTAGAAGCACAGTCACATCCTCTGGGACACATCATTATTTCTGACAATTTCCCACCACAAGGAATACTGAAATACAACAGGAAATGGTGAGTATGAATAGATAGCCCTGGGCTCAATTTGAACGGTGGAAACTTTATACCAAATGTTTCCATAAAAGTATACTTTCTTCAGTTTTGATGACAACCCACTGGATCATTGTGGCCAGATGCCATTGACCAACCAGGAAATTGGAAAATAAATAAATGAACAGTTTCACATGGTCTTGAAGGAACTCAGGTTTTGTTTGGGTTGGGAGCACAAGAAAAATGGTACTCTGACCCAAATTGAGCAAATACAAGAATTTGAAGTGCAGCATATTTAATTATGAAAACTCTATGATTATCATTTCATAAAGTAGAAGAGGAAACCTGACAGAGAAGAAAAGGAAGGGAACTTACACTCAGGCGGCCTCTAGTCCAATGTCAGCGTTTTCCTAGGAAAGTTACATAGGGAATGCTACTAATTCTCATGACCATAACATAGGGTCAGTATCATTACCTGCTCCCCCCATTTTAGGTTAGGAAATAGGTTCACTAAGTTAGAGAGCTTGCACTGGTAGTGACCAAATGGGAAGTCAAAGGTGGATCTCTTTTCAAACTTCCCTCCTGTTCTGAGGAGAAAGCGGTGCCGTGCGGAGTTTCAATAAAATGAGATCTCTGTTAAGTTAAGCATTCTGGTTGTTAACAGCCATTCAATAACAAATAGCTATTTTGCGCATCTATAAAAAACTCATTTTGAACTATATTCATCTTTTTTTAAGATTTATTTTTACTTTTTTATGCATACAAGAACTGGGGTACAGGCCAGAGGTGTGTGTGGGGGGAGTGAGATAATTCACCAGAGACAGAGTGGGAGCAGAACAGGAGATCTACTGAAATACACTGCTGAGGGGAGCAGTGGGTGTTTCAGGAGAGGTCTGCTGTGCCATGTGGGTCAGCTCCCAGGCTGGGGAGCAAACTCAGGTCACAGTGGCTGGCAATAACTTGATAGTGGTGAGACTTTAACCCTTGCGCCACCAAGGTGGCCCTATTCACGTTATTTATTTTAATGCTAATCAGGACACATACCAGATTCTATAGTAAGCTTCTATAAGAGTAAGAGTCTGCAGGTAATAAGCATCCCTTGACTATGAAAAGCATTCATTTCAACTAACTCCCAGTGGAGTCCACATCCGTGTTCCTGGAAGAAGATGATGGGTTGAAGTACAGTGAATTACACTAGGGGAAATAAGGGAAGGTCTTCCACGCTCAGTTAGTCCCTGAGTGATTATTTTGGGTCAGCTTCAAATCTCTGCGTTCTCCTTCCGGTGAAGTATCACCTCTTTTCTAAAGCATGGTGGAAACCACAGTGAATCCCAACTTTAAGATCTATCAGGTGAAAGCAGACACATCTTAAAGGGTCTGGAATACTGAAAATGTGTTCCTCTCCATGAGCCTTCTCACCCATTAACTTGCCATGTGCACCTGTTCTCGTGTAACCTGACAACTGCTACTGACTTGGCCCCAAGACCAGAAGCTACAGACAGGTAAGGTGGGAAAAAGAGATGAACTTCCACCTCAAAGAGCGGGAGGTTACACCTTGACTATCTCTATTCTGCCAGCAAACGGAGCGGAGACTCCAGCTCAATGAAAGCCCCAGAAAGGAACCACAAAACAAAACAAAACAAAACAAAACAAAAATACCATGAAAAATAACAACTCATGGTTCAAAAGGCAGTTTGGACAAGGTGTGAGTATAAGAGTTACATATCATTTGCGGCTCTCCCTCTTTATTTACTAATGTTTACTCTTCTGAGGTTAAACCTTATTTAATCCCAGTTTAATTGCATAAGCAACATGGCATAGGGGCCTCAGTGTGCATTTAAGAAAAACCACACTACTTCCTTGAAGTCCCTTGCAGCTTCCCCACCCAGTATCCTCGGCCCCCTTTGAGCCTCATAGCTTTAATGCCACCGTTATAACATGCGCCTTAATTCCTGCCATTTGGGGTTATTTTAGAGGCCAGATGATTTCGACTCACGTGCGCGCCCCAAAGCCCCCAATCCCAAGCGGGACTGATCCTGGGCGCATCAGTCATCGCGGGTGGAAGGGGACAGGAGTCCCCACTGTCTCTTGCCACCGCCGCTTTCCCGTTAAGCTCTCGCTGCGGGGCCGCGCACGGCCTCCTCCGGGCAGGCCTCTCCCAGGCGAGCCCGGGCGCTCGGAGGACGGCGGCGTTGGGCTGAGGGCGCACTTCCTGCGGGGCGGCGGGCGGCGGCGGCGGGCGGGGGCGGAGCCGCTCTGCTCCCGGCCCCCTCCCCTCCCCGCCTCCCCCTCCCCGCCTCCCCCCTCCCCCTGCGCTTCCCGCCCCCTCCCGGGGAGGCCGAGTCGCCGCGGGGGCGGGGCCGCGCCGGGCCGGGCAGCGTGGCGGTGCGGGCTGGGCGCCGCGGCCGAGGCACGACCAGACCCGCGCGGGCTCGGGCGCAGGGCGGAGGCGCGCGGCGCGGAGCTGCCCAGCCCGACCCCGGCAGAGACCAGCCTGCGGGTGGCGGTGGCGGCTCCGGACCCGGCGGGTGCAGGGCCTCCGACCCAGCTGCGGCCGAGCGGGGCCTCTGCCCGGGCGCGGGGGGAGCCCGAGGCGGCTGGCAGCGAGAGGAAGCGGCGGCAGCGCGTCCCGAGCCGTGCGCGCCATGTCGGGCGGGCCCCCCAAGGCCCTGCCGTCCACGGGGCCCCACTCCCTGCGCGACATGCCGCACCCGCTGGCCGGCTCCAGCAGCGAGGAGGCCGTGGGCGGCGACAGCACGCCCAGCCCGGACCTGCTGATGACCCGCAGCTTCGGCGACAAGGTGGGGCGCGTCGGGCTGGGGCTGGGGAGACTCATTTTGCTCCCGAGGGGGTGGGGCCCGGGGGGGACTCTCGAGCCCTCCCGGGCACCGGGCCGCGCCCACCCTGCCGCCCTTTCCCGGGGGGCGGGCGTGCTGTCGCCCACGGAGCCTTCGGAAAAAGCGTCTCCTCTCGGTCGCCCCCGCGGGGTTGCAGCCGCCTGGGGAGCGGCCAGCGGGGAGGGACTCGCCGCCCCTGGCCGGGCGCGCGCGCCGGTGACAGCTGCTGGGGAGGGGTCCGGTTCGCGGGTGCGGGCCGGAGGCGTGTGCGCGGGGCTCGGCGCTGTGTCCGGGGATGGGGTCCCACGTTCCTGCAGGTGAAGCCCTGAAGGCAGAGCTGCCGAGTCACTTGTAGCTCCTCCACTTTCCTGGGACTGGAAGAGCTCGTGGTTTTCCGTCCTAAGACGGGCCAGCCTTGGTCTCACCGCCGGAGTCATCTTCATTCTCCGTCTGTCCTGTGGGAAGTGATTTTGTTTAGGTTTGCTGGGTGCCCAGAGGAGTCACCTGACTCAGACCTCATCCGCGGCGGGAGGAGAGTCTCGCTGTGGTTTTCGGTGTGGGGCCCCACCGCCTCGGACGGCCTCCCACATCGTTTTGGTTTGGCAGAGGCTGGTTTTGTGGCTGATGGAAAGCAAGCCCGCCCTTTGACCTTCTTTGTGCAGAGGGAGCCTCTTGATTTTCTTCGCGCAGCATAACCCTCCTGCTGCTTTGAGAGACAGCTGAGTCCAGGGAAGGGTAATGGGCGGCATCCCTTCCCCCCACAGCGGGTGCAGCTGTGACCCAGGCTTAAGCCGCTGATTGTATCAGCGTTGCTGTCACCACTTAGGCACTAATTGCAGAAATCAACTGTTCAATACTAGTGATCAGGATTTCCTCCTCGTAGTAAAATACTAGGCGAATTCGTCCTTGTTGCAATACTTAATGGGATCACGGGACCTTACTTTCTTTCTCCCTTAGATGTAAGGGCATGTGGTACATTAAAAATGAGTATGAGTGTACTGAGCACTCAAAATAACTAAGGATTTGAGACTTCAAATGCCTTCCTGAGAGGGTTGGGGAGAGCACAGGCTTTTGGGGAAGGTTATAGACTGGTAGCAAGAAGACTTAAAAGTTGATGAAACCAAGTAACTGAGCAGCTTGAAGTGTGTGGTGGAGCTCTTCGTGGTTATTATTTTTCATTTTATAGAAGATTATACACTGCATGAAGTGACTTGGAATATCTTGCCTGTATTTGACATTCAATAAGTAATTTATCGAATCACTGAATGAATACTTTGTTCCTTTTTCTTAGGGACAGAGAAATTGATCCTATGTGCATGCATTGATGTTAAAACTTATGATTTTTCGGGCCTCCCCGGTGGCGCAGCGGTTGAGCGCTGAGTTGCGAAGCTGCCCGCGGCCTCTGCGGCGCCGGTTCGATCCCCGGCTGCTCCCCGGCCACCGGAGGAGGGTCCCACATGGCGCGCAGACCTCTCCTGCCGCCCGCTGCTCCCCTCAGCAGTGTCCTTCGGTCCTTCTGCCTGCTCTGCTCTCCGCTCTGGCTCTGGTGAATTCTCTCACCCTCCCGCGCTTCTGACTGTACCCAGTGCTTGTATAAACAAAAACAAAGAAAGAAAGAAAGAAAACATGCCTCTATATATAAAAAAAAAAAAAAACTTATGATTTTTCTCACATCTGTAGGAGAGTGAATTAATTATCTATGGCTGTGTAACAGATTACTGCAAAATTTAGCACCTGAAAATAGTGTCTGTGGGTCAAAAATTTGGGAGCAACTTTGCTGGGTGGTTCTGACTCAGGTGTTTTGTGAGATTGTCTCCAAGCTGTTGACTGAGGCTGTAGCCATTTGGAGACTGGATTGCGGGAGGATCAGCTTCCAAGCTCCCTTAGCTTGCCCAGAGGCCTTAGTTCCTCTCCGTAGGGTTGTTTGACATGGCAGCTGGTTTTCCCCAGAGCAAGAGAGGGAGAAATCCTAACTGAAGCCACAGTTTCTGTAATCTAATCTTGTAAGTGAGGTATCTGTGCCATATTCTATTGGTGGGTGGAGGGTCTGACAACCAGGAGGGGGACATGTTTGGGGACATCTTGAAGGCTGAAGATTGCACATGGTTATTTGAAGTATAGTAGGTCCTCAAATGACGTCTTTTTGTTATATAACATTGATGAGAAAAAAATCCCATCCAGTGTTGAACAAAAGGATGTTAATGAAGGACCTGGTTTCATGAGATATTCTTTTGCTTAAAGTCACAGTTTTCAAGAATCTGTCAATGATGGTAAGGTATTTGCTTAATATGGACTTATGATATTTGCTTCATGAGCCTCTCTTGGAGGACATGTGACTTGGAAGTGTGGGTATTTTACAATAAGCGATGGAGGAGCACATGTCCTGTGCCATAAGGATTTAGTGATGGGCAGGAAGTTAGACCCAACTTTAATTACTATTGGCTTCCTTTACAGGGACAGTTCTGTGAGTGGGGCAGTATTGGAGGCATTATTATTAATTATTAAATATTTAATAAGTCTAACAGCTGTGGGGAGCATCGAAATGACATCCCTCCCAAGGGCCTGATTAGTAGGAAGCCACTTTTCCTTCGAGGCTAAGCAAAGTAATTTTTTTCTCTGACTGGGAGTAACATTTTCCTTGAATCTTGGTGTATACACATCCTCACGTAACTCTAGAGAAGTTTCTGTAGTGAGAAGCTACCAAGCAATAGAGGTGAGTCAGAACCCGTGGAAGGAAGCTTTTCCCCTGCCCTGCTTTCTCTTACCCAGGGAGAATGGGGGTCAATGGAGGCCAGGAGGGAAGATTGAATGCTGTGACCTGTCTTTAAAAAAAAAACAACCTGTTTTCTTGCCTTTTTGGATGGCTTGGGATCCTAGATGCCTGATCCAGTCAATTCTGAACTTGAGAATGAGGGCTTGGCATCTGCTGTGGGTGCAAGGTTATTGTATCATGTAGAGGGAAATTGCTTTCCCCGAGCCCAGGGTGTTACCACAAAGAGGGAAGACTTTCTCCAGCCGACACTTCTGAGAGGTTGCTGGGATGTGCCCAATGTGATGGCTTCTTCACCCACTAATTTCTAAAATCATTTAAACTCAGCCTCCCTAGTTGCACAGGGATTAAAGACAGCATTATCAAGCTATCAGCAGCCACTGCAGTGTGAGTGCAATCCCTGGCTGGCCAGGGAGCAACCCACATGGTGCAGCAGACCTCTCCTGCCTTGCCCATTGCTCTCCTCAGCAGTGTGTTTCAGTGGGTCTGCCTGTTCTGCTCCCCACTCTCTGGTGGATCTTCTCACCCCCGTACCTCTGGCTTAAACCCCAGTTCTTGTATGCATAAGTAAATAAATCTTTAAAAAAAAATCATTTAAACCATGGTATGATGGGGGGGGGATCCTTTATCTTCCAAACCTTTGGATGTCCACTAAACTCCCCAGGCTTTCTGTCATTATAGCCTCATCGTCCCCCTTAAAATGGCCCACCTCTTTTACCTCTTGTCTGCTCACTTCTCTAAGCTGCTTCTCCCCTGACTGAGCCTCTTGCTCTTGTGCTTCCCAAAATTTAGCACCAGGTGCTTTCAGACCTCAGCTTTGGTTAACACCCCTGCCACATCCTCAGCCTTGTCACTGAACTCTCCACCCCTGGGTACTGCTTCCCCTGTAGTATTTAAAGTGAGAAGGGCGCCTTTCCATCCTGTATCCCACTTATGTGTGCATCAGGAGATTAGGTCACTGTCCTCTTCTCCTCTCCTTTTTACAAACCTACCTCTGCTCCTTTGAAGCTCATGCCATTTTTTGTTGGCAATTGTTCATTCAGCAAGTGTTTGAGGACCCTGCCTCATTGGGCACATTTTAGTGAGTATATTTTACGCTATATAATAAATGCTATGGAAGGAAGAAACAAAAAATTAAGGCAGTGGTTCAGGATCCCTGGCTGTTGGGAGGGGGATTCACATAGGCCTTACTGAGAACTTGAGAGGTGAGTAGAAAGTTGAGGTGTTGAGGGGGAACTAGTAAGTAGATGTCTGGAGTGGAGGGGGCAGCCAAAGCAGAGTCCTGAAGGCCCATGTATGATATGTCAGGGAATAGTACAGAGGCTCATTTGGGTCAGGTGAGCACTGGACAGTGGTTGGCTAAGGGCACAGAGGGGCTGGGGCCATGCTGCAGGGGCTGGGAGGCAGCCAGAGAAGTTTGGTCTTTACTCTGTGTGCCTTTTGCAGGATCCTGAGTAGAAGGATGATGTGTTGAGAAAGATTAGACAGGTTGTTGAACTGAAAAGTTTTTCCTTGACTTTTCCACTGGATTAGGTTTCTTTTTGGTTAAAAAGACACAAACTGAATGTAAACTGGTTCAAAGCAAAGTACGTGCTGACTCATGTAGTTGAAAAACCCCAGGTTTCTTAGCTTCAGATATGGCTGGAGGTAGGTGTTGAAATGATGTCAGGAATCTCTCACTTTCCATCTCTTGGCTGTTTTCTTCTGTTAGCTTTATTCTCAAGCTAGTGCAGGAATATGTTCTGCAAACAAGCTTAATGATGAGAGCCAAAAGAGAGTGCCTCTGTCCGGAGAGTTTTAGCAAAAGCGCTTGGCTACTGTCTCAATGGCCTAAAGTGGGTCAGGTGTGGAAACCACGCTTTGTGACTCTTGATTGCCCAGACTTGGGCCAGGTGCTTATCTTTGGAGCAAGGAGAGGGAAGTGTGACCACATTTATTTGAACTGTGAAATATATAACCAATATATGAAACATAGCTATATAAAGAACAAAATGTATCTACATAATGGGAAGAATAATAAAGTATCCATGTTCCTGGCCTCTAGATGAACACATGGAATATCACTGGTATCTCAGAAGCCCCCTTTAGACCTGGGGAGGTGGTATCTTCCAAAGAAAAATCAGAAGCTGGTACCAGGAGGAGGAATGACAAGCCCTTCCACTACATTTTCCTTCTCTGTCATTTCTGACTTCCC